GGCCTAGACCCTTTTCTGATGAAGGGTCTAGGCCCGAAACGTCAGCCTCTCTGCTCCTATGATGCTGCTTGGCCTGCTGTGTTCATCCAGCCCTGCACCTTGTTGTCTCGGATTCTCCAGCATCTGCAGTTCCTACTATCTCTGTAGCTATTTTATCATGGCTTTATTCATTCTTTCTCATGTTGTATCCACTAAATTTTTGTTTAAAGTCAAATATGATAATGGAGTGGAACAGTTTTAACTGCTACTAGTTTACAAAGGGAAGAGGGCAACAATTATATAACTGTAGAATTTGAAACATTTAATTTTGCAGGTTATCAAACTCCCATTTCATATTGAAACATATTCATCATATTCTTGTTATAGGGAAATATTTCATTATGTAATGAAACAAGCCTTCTTAAAAATGTACACACAGTATATCATGAAATTAATCATCCTGACATCATAATGCTGGGAGTTAAGAAATGTGTTCATTTTTGAAGTGGAATCATCACGAGAAATAACTCTGTAATGATTCAAGTTAAAGAATTTCATTTTAAAGCTTTTGCAGAATTTGATAATATATGGCATAAATGACCAGAATATTAACACATTCGTTAACATGGTAAAAAAGAAAACTACTTTTATGTAGTTGACTGTTAGCCAGTTGAACAGCTCTAAAAGCTTACTGCAAAAGGGTTATAAAGAAGTTAGATGGGTATTGATTTTTAACTTTGATGAGTTCTGCAATATAATGATAATAACAATGTCAAAGAAAGATTAAAAATAAGTTGCTGAACTTTTTCAGCAGGTCCGGCAGCATCTGTGGAAAAAAAAAATCAGTTAATGTTTCAGGTCCAGTGACCCTTCCTCAGAACAGTTTCAAAGAAAGATTAGACGGAGAAGTATTTATTACTATTGTGTTACCTTTCCAGTCGTTAGGAACAAAGGTATGCAATTATCATAGATTGCATTCTTAACCCCTGCTGGCTGCTGAGTAATAAAACAGTTAAAATAACTGGAATACAGTCATATAAACAATGCAATGACAATCACATTTCTATTTTGCACTGTTATTCCTCATAGAATTGAGCAACCTGACATGATCACAACGATGTTCAAGTTTGAGCAATGTTTCAGATCACATCATGCTGGATTTTGATTTTGAAAGACCTGTATAAGCTTACAATCAAAATGATCTGCTGCCTCCTCATTCAGCTCATAAATCATGAAAAGCAGTTTAAGGTTTTAAAAAAGAGAGAAACACAAAAGGAGACTAATCTTTTCAAAATTGTCACCTTAAGAGAAGGCAACAATGGATCTTTTAACAACAAATTGGCATTTTGATCAAGCCTTACCTTGACTATCAAACATCATGCTCATAAATTGAAGTATCCTTCAGAAAAACCGATCAGCTTCCCTACCAAACCTTTGTTCATTGGAAAGTTTGAAGTGATTAAACAGTTAAGTACAGAAATGTATACTTACATTTCTCTTAAATTTTTCAATTCGGTGCAGACGTCCTGTGCCTTTTCATTTCTGCAAACAAGAAATTATTTTGCATTAAGATTTGCATTAATTTTAATAAACAATTGTATCATTAGCACATTAAAAGTTTCAGTATGTACATGGCCAATTTAATTCTTGAAATGCACAGTATGTGACGAATAATGTAAAACAATTGCTGGTCCTCTCTGCTAAAGTGTGTAATTGTTATTGTTTTTCTCCATCTCTAACAATCATTGGGTATTAATGTCCACGGATTTCAAACGACAAGTCAAAAACTTGTTATCTGATTTTACATGAAGGGGAGGCGATGGCCTAGTGGCATTCTCACTGGACTGTTAATCCAGACACCCAGATAGTGATCTGGGGACCTGGGTTTGAATCCCGCCACGGCAGATGGTGGAATCTGAATTCAATAAATATCTGGAATTAAGAGTCTAATGATGGTTGTGAATCCATTGTCGATTGTGCAAAAAACACATCTGGTTCACTAATATCCTTTTGGGAAGAAAGCTGCCATCCTTACCTGGTCTGGCCTACACATTACTCCAGACCCACAGCAATATGGTTGACTCTTAACTGCCCTCTGGGCAATAAATACCGCTTAGCCAGCGATGCCCTCATCCCGTGAATGAATAAAGAAAAACATTAACTGTAAAAAGTCAGAATATTAACAGATCAATGGTATTAGTTTAAATAGACGTTTGCTCAAAATATTTATATTAAAAAACCCAAATCACACTAATAGAACATTTATGGGCAATTAGGCACTTCAGCTGTAGAAAACTCAAGTTCCTTTTTAGGTTAATAGGTTAATAGAATGATTTGATCTGCAGTAAAATGGGCACCATCTACTGTTTCAACCTGCTGCCAGCACATCCAAGACACATGGGGGTAAGAAGGCAGAATAGATCGCCCTCTGCAGCAACCTTTTCAGCCATATTCCAGTCTGTGTTATCTCCATTTTAAAGATAACTATCACACAGAGTTTAAAGTCAAATGGTCAACCTCATGCAAATTATTACCCTTCTAGACATCTTTTATACAATGGATCATATCTATTGGAACAATATTAAGATTGCATATACTAAATTAATTGAACCTCTTTACAACAGAGAAAAAGGTTTTTCTTTTCCCAATTGTGAGAACATACAACAGAAGTACTATTTCAACAGTGAGAGGATATCATTTAAAATCATTGCACCACCCAGTCTCCCAAAACAAAAATCCTTTGTACTTCAGAGTATAAAAAGAACAGGCTCTGCTTAGTCCTAATGCTACACAATGATGCCTGTTATCCACAAAGTGCAAACAGATAAATGTGTTAGCTATTCAAATACTCCAGTTTCAAGTAGTTTGGGATCCAAAGAAGCATAATCCTTTAAGCCAAAAGGCTATAATGAACTTTCAAACCTATATATCATCCAAACTGATGTAGTTGGCATGTACTTTTCTAAACTGTTAGCTACATATAAGTAGAGTGCTTCTCAACAAGAGGTAGAGATGTGGTCTGTAATGCCTTGTTACAAGTACAACTTGTAAGAAAAGTGTTTTTTTAACTTTGTAATGTGTTTTTAAAAAAACAACTGTGGACTGAAATGAGAAAGAGTTGCTTTGTTTAAAAAGAAAGTATTTGCAAGAGTGGGTGCAGTTTTGAAGTGACAACATGAAACCCATTGCAAGAATCATAAACAATTGCTTTAACAAGCAGTGACTGAATTTTGAGTTGCAGACAATTTGGAGCTGAAGGGGTGTTCAGATGTATCTTTTGCTGGCAACAAGTAGTTGATTGGTCTACACACTCGTGGCAATTTATCTATGCCTGCCAACAAATGTGTGATAGGTTCTCCAGTAACTAAACAGTTTGGAGCTGGGAACAAATTAAAGAGACAGACTGAGAAAAGTTCAATTCTTCCTCAGCTCAAGAGCGGTGTCTCTGTTCTCTGCAGTCAGAATTCACTGCAAACCAGAGAAAAATAATTTTGTTTCTGCAACAGTTGCTGTAAGCTATGACTTTTAACTGATAAATCAGAGACTTCTTACAAGTGAATCAGCCACCTTTTGTCTCTCACTAACTGGCAGAAGCAACCAGAGAAAGATGACTGAAGCAAAATGCTGGACAAAAGGGTTATAGAGGCATACAGTGCAGAAGTAGCCCTCTGGCCCATCAAGTCTGCACCGACTTATCCACACTAATTCCACTTGCACATCCTTAACTTATAGCCATGAATATTGACATTTTAATTATTCATCCACATACGTTTTAAAGGTTATGAGGCTTCCTGCCTCTACTACCATTCCAGATTCCAGATTGCATTCCACAATCCCATCACTTGTCGGATGAAAAAATGTTTCCTCAAGTCTCCTCTAAACCTCTTGCCCTTCACCTAAAATTACACCCCTCATTATTGACCCTTCAACTAAGGGAAACAGATACTTTCTCTCCACCCTGTCTATGTCCCTTATAATCTTATACACCTGGATCAGGTCCTCCATCAGCCTTCTCTGCCCTAAAGAAAAAAACCTGAGCCTATCTAGCCTCTCTTCATAGCTAAAATGCTCCATCAACCTGGTGAATCCTATCTGCATTCCCTCCAGTACAATCACATCCTTCCTATACTGTGGTGATCAGAACTGCACACAGTGCTCCAGCTGTGGCCTAAACCAAAATTTCATACAGGTCCAACATAACCTCCCCATTCTAATGAACAATACCGTGACTGATAATGGGAAGCATCTCAAATGTTATCCTATTAACCTGTCCTGCCACCTTTAGGGATCTGTGGACAAGCACCCCAAGATCCCACTGTTCCTGAGTTTCCTAGTGTCCTGTCATTCATTGAGTTCTAAAGAGTCATAAAGATCATCTCAATAACAGTAACTGGGAATAAAAGCTACTGGACTATTTTCCAAAAATTTTACCCTCTCCCATAATCTATTTTACCTTGGCTGTTTGTGCATGTGTAAGGAATAGTTTCAAAGGGGATTAAAGTTTCAATTCAATGCCGATGGTTTACAACTGTTTGTGGTCTAAATACTTGTAGTAAATAATGATTCTTGTTCAGCACAGCCTAAAAATTAAAACTAGACCTGTCGAGCATTAAATTCTATAATACTTCTTAACTCTTCGAGTTTGAAACTCTCTATGCAAATAACAATTGACCTAGCTTCAATTGTGAATTTTGACCAACTGAGAGGGAGAGATTTTCTGTAACCAAAATTTTTAAGGCACATTAGCAAAGGAAAGATTTGGGTCACAAATTACCATGATCTAATTGAAAGGCACAAAAAGGTTTGTGTGGCTAATGGCCTACTCTTGTGCATATGAGTCAGGAAGATAGCAGCAGATCAGGAGAACATAGAGAGATGAAATAGGCATGTTGCTGGTAGACAAAATTTAACATAGAGAAAAGAGAAGTAATGCATTTTGTAAATGTGGCAAGGACAGACATTATAGATTTTATAAGCTTAATGGTACAATTTTGAAATGGATGCAGGAACAGAGATATTGGAAGTTTCTGAAAACAAGTCTTTGAAGATGGCAGGAGAAGCTATTAGTCTTTTTTTAACATCAACGTATGCAGACATGTTTTGATACACCTCCAGTCTCCAGGTGAGACTTGAATCCAGACCTTCTGGCTCAGAGATAAAGTCTTCAGGGACAGCTGTAGTGACCCTAAAAATAATTTTTAATCAACCTGTTCAGGCATGTTAGGACATACCCCAAGCAGTTCAGAGTGGAACCAATACTCTTTGACTCAACAATAGGGACAATACCAATGTGTTAGAAATGCCTGAAAAGGAGAAGTTAATACGCTGTTACAGAAAGAACCATTGAAAGCAATTAAGTTAAGCTAATTACTTATAGATCACTAATTAAGCCTCAGTTGGAATTTTGTATCCTATTTTGAACATCACACTTTAAAAAGGATGTGAAGGCTGTGCCAATAGGAAATAGGAGAATTGTCTTCAAAGATCTGTGTTCATAAACCTCCAAATCTCCAAACTAGCTAATAGGGACTGAGGAGAGAGAAGTTGGAATAATGTTCCTTTAAGGAGAGAAGGTTAAGGAGAAATTCACGAGAATTGTTCAATTGACCTTTATTGATTGAAAGTCTTTGGTAAAAGTACCAGAAGGAGAGGTAAAATGGCCTCCTTTGGTACTTTATTGAGTAGAATCTTACTAAAAATTGGCTCAGCGTCAATTTCGGGGAACATCATGGAAGGTTTCACTTAATGAGTTCTATCATGTTATTTCACACAATTCGCTGCACCTCTCCTCATTACGTATACAGCAGACCTCAATGACACTCCTCTCACTGGGATTTCACAATACACGCAGGGAGGGAAAGGGGACATTTCAATGCAAATAGAATCTCACGTTCATAAAGGTAATTTTACTTTACATCATCATCTGCCTGATTAACTCACTGTCAAGCTACTGAGGCTACCTGTCCTCAGTGCTATTCCATGTTAAAAACCCTCTCTGAAGAGTGTAATTCTTTCTCCAATGGCCAGACAAGCATGATATCTTGTAATTTTGTAATGTATGAGTATCATATGCCGAAAAGCCTTCAAATAGGAGAGAATGTTAATCTTCATTAACTACCAGCAAAAGTGAAGAAAGAACAAACAAAAAAGCTGCATTAGCACCTGGTATTTTTGAGGCTTGCATTTCAACCAACAAAATGTTTACAAGCAATGACTGATCACTTCACACAACTCTGATCTGTTGGAACCAGGCGTCAAATAAGCCTGTCTGGCTTGTGACACAACGTGCAGTCTGTGGATCATGTATAGATTGGTTGTTAGTGATTAGACCACTTTTTAGTTACTTAGAAAGTCTTTTGTTGTGCTTTGTGTTGCACCTCAGCCCCACACTCCTGATCTTTGGGCAACCGGTGTGGAGGGGTATGGGCAAGTCAGAGGACTTTCTCATGGGTCTGTTCGTGAGCCTGGCCAAGTTGGCTATAAACAGGTCCAGGCAGTGGGCTGTGGAGAGAGAGTTATATCTATCAACTGTCTTACCTTCT